CAGTTCCCCGGGAAAAATTCAGGGAAAATTAGGGACGGCCTGTAGGCGCACTGTGAATCGTATTTGGATCCCGAAAACAAGTAAGGACCCCTCACCCTATTTCCTATCACGGTATTAAAGTTCAAAATGATAAAACGGTATTTCTTGAATTAACGCATGTGTGAAATTGCTTAAGGTTGCTAATGGAGCCCGAGTCTAGCGTGATTTATGATTTACTGTTATTTGGCCTGTTTTACAGCTTTAAATGCATTATGAGGTTTGATGTGTTCATTTTATAGTTTCGAGTGCATATATTACTGTTTTATTTATTTATGGGTTGAAAGACTGAAGAACTGATACTGTATGTTGTCTGTTTGGCATGAATTATGATTTGCTTTCTTAAATGTGAATTGATGATGCTTATTGAGGAAAAGGAAAATGAAAGATTGTGTAGACTGATAATTGTATGATGGGGTTAGCCTGACTAGATATCCTGGGAGATGGTGGACGGACTGGGTCCGTAGGGAACCCTACCGGGATTGTGGTCTCACATGCCGGACGGGGTATGGAGATCTTATGGTTTTGGCGCCCATACCGGACGGGGTATGGGGACGGCCCGTTTCACCCTCATACCGGACGGGGTATTGAGGTTTATGGTTTTGGCGCCCATACCGGACGGGGTATGGGGACGGCCCGTTTCACCCTCATACCGGACGGGGTATTGAGGTTTATGGTTTTGGCGCCCATACCGGACGGGGTATGGAGACGACCCTGGAAACTGATTATGAATGTTAAAGGTTAACGGGTAGCGGGACCCCTATGGACCCCCATGGATACTAGTAGGCTGGTAAATGAGAAAAGGATATGTTGTATAATGATTGAATTACAAAATGCGTGATAAGTGCTATGTTTTACAGCTTATATTATTCCATGATTGTGAAAATGTTATTGTTTTCTTATATTGCTTCATGAATTCCACCGAGGTAAGTGGATGGTAAAGGTTTTATCATAAATAAAAAGGATTTGTTGTAAATCATGCTCCATTGGTCTTTTGTGTTTTTTCTACCCACCTTTACCTCCGTGACGGTGAGATATCGTGATGTTCTTACTGGGCTAGTGTAGCTCACTCCTTATTTAACCATTTCAGATCAGGAAGACATGGTTCCCGAGCCCGTTCCGCAGGAGGACGACGAAGGGGATGCCTAGAGACTCTGTAGTCATACTCATAGTTTTATTTTCGAGTTTCTCTCTTAGTTAGTTTAATCTTTTATACTTTAAGTACGTTTTTGGTTTTCGTGTAAGGGATGTTAACTGAAATTTTGATCTCGCTTCCGCATTTAATATTTATAATATAATTTCCATTTTTTGAATTACCGAGGCTGCTACAATATAAATGTCGATCCAAATATATATTAATTTGGTCAAACCCTAGAGTTTTTAATGTTTTACATTTTTGTCCAATAAGTTTGATCACCATGAGATGTAGTTGCTCCTAAAAAATGAGGAGAATAGTTAGCTCCACGAAAGTATGCATTTAGAGGACAATGCTGAGACATATCTAACTTGCCCGATAGCTCAATAAACAAGTAATGTATGCGAATTTTCAGTGTTGAGTTGCTTGTTTTACATCTTGTATTGCTATGATGAGTTCTCGATAATAGATATTTGTAGTTAAAATTTCACATGTGCTGTAAGAATCCAGAACTTAAAAGAAAGGAATTTATTATGTAAATGCGGAAGTAAATAATATAGTTAAAGTTTATATTCATTACACAGTAAATTGGAATACCCAATAGAGATACGAGAATGTCCCTTCTACATTGGTTCATAAATAAATATATTATCCTAAGGGGTTAACCTCCGATAGTAATTGAAGGGAGTCCGGGAGGTGAACTACTCACAACTTTCTTACTGATCGGGATCTGAATCTTAGTTTTCTTGATCTAAAATAGTTAATAAAAGAGTGAGTTACACTAGTCCAGTAAGAATATTACACTAATAACTGATATAGAAAACTAAATGTTGGTAAAAATAACAAAATAACTAATGAAGACAGTGATTTAAGTAAATACATTTAGTATTAAAATGTTTTATTCTATACTTACCGTTATAGGTTTTTTCAAAATCAACCTATGAAGATAAGTAACCAAACGACATTTTAATTTTATGCATAAAATTAGTAATTCTTATTTTTTAACATACTTACTAGGACTCATAGAGGTACATAAGGATATCCCCCTACTCGTGAACTCAGTGTCTAGATTTGACAATTGATTCGGTTGTCCCCATATTCCGTCCGGTATGGGAGCGAACCATATCTCCCAAACTCTTTCAGTATGGGATTTCTCAGCCCCGTCCAACTAAGGTAATATCTACGGTATGGTTCTTTATGTACCAGATCCGTCCACCCTTTCCCAGGGTACCTAGTAAGTTTTTTTTTTTTTATATATATAGATTCTTATCACCCAAACAACTACCAATTGCATACCAACATCTCATTACGTATTTATATATTCATTTAAAAGGCATCTAAGCAAGCAATACAGTTTAACATAACTGAATAACTAAATAATCAAATAACCAAATAAACAGTAAGGAAAAACTAAAGAACTGAGGACACAATTCAAACTAATAATTTAATGCACACAATGCGATAGTAAACATTTTAAATAATATATGAGAAAATAAGCAGGTAAACTAGGAAAATCGTATACTGACCGGTTCCGACTTTACTAGTGACTTGTAATTATTGTTATGATTTTTTTAATTTTCACAAAATATGATATTATTAATTATTAAGCATCAATTTATTGTAACAAAGAATAAGGTGAGATATTCGTATTCGGATCGGTATTTCGAAACGCTGTGCTACCCACTACGCCTCCTGGAATTCTTGAGTTTTCTGAATTTTTCTTGCGAAAATCAAAATACTCGTAACGTACCCAAAAATACCCTAAAAACCCAAAACAAGTGTTGAAAATCTTTTTCAGCCAATTTTAAGATTCCAGGATAGCGGCACCGCCGTGCTTCGGTGCCAACTCTGCTTCCCACGGCGGCAGTTTGTCTCGCCCTGATCGAGTTTACACGTATCCCTATGAAAAAATATATTAGAAAGCTTCAGTTGGCCAGAAAAACTAAAAAAATCGAACCTACCAGCGGGGGATCTCCGAGTACGACAGCTTCGCCGGTTCTCCTTCACAGCTAGAGTTTGTTCTTTGGCTAACCTGCACAGAAAGGGTCGGTGAATACAATGATCAAAGAATTGTGTGAAATAGAAAACGAGAACGGGGTCATTGGAAGGGGTTTAGGGTTTTCGCCACGGCGGCTCCGCGGGACTTTGCTCATAATTGTTGGCTTACCCGCCGTCACTTTTGCTCTGATATGGCCATAGAGAGACTCGAAATTGAATTCTGAGCGGAAAAGATAAAAATTTACCTCTTTTGATGGTCGGCGATGACTCTGGTGTGGTGCTGGTCGGGGTCGACCTTCTTATCCGGCGTTTGGTTCTTCTTCTCCGGCAGAGATTGACAGCTTGGGTTAGGTTCTCCTGCGAAGAGAAGTTTAAATACTCATCTCTTCTTCGATTTGAGTCATTCATTTGTGTCGACGTAGAGCGAGGAGGGCTGTTCGATGGTTTTTTGTTTAGGTTGATGGCGTGGGCGAATCAGGACCATCCATCACGACCCATCTCGTCCGTCAGATCGCATCTAAATAGAGAATGCATCTGGACCGTTTACGTGCACGGGATGAGATATGGGTCGAGAGAATGCATATGGACCGTTCACGCGCGCGAGATGAGATCTGGATCGTCAGATTGCTAGGCACGCAGATCGCTCGTGTGGTGCCAATGTTAGCGGAGTTGCCACGCGACGTGCTCTGGTTTGTCGGGGCTGCTAATTTGGCCGTTTTACATGGTTGAACTTCTTTTTTTGCGTTTAACTCTATATTTTCGATTTTTCTTTCAAAAATACTAATCGAATTCAAAATTTTACTTATTTTTTTAAAATTATTTTTAATTTCGTCTTCAATTTATTTATTTTTTAAAATTTAATAAAACTAAAATAAAATAAAATAAATTAATTATTTATATATGTACATAATCATATATAAATTCAATTGGAATTAGATTGTTAGAAAAAATTAAATTCGACTTATATATGTACATAATCATATAAATTTCTTGCGGGTTCAATGAATTCAAATTATGCTTAGGAGCTTGCCTATTTTGGTTAGTCATCATGTCTACTAAAAACTTGAAAGAGAGAACTAGGTGCATGCCCTAAAGGAGGAAAGGTAAATATATCATAGCTTGACGATCATCTATGGTGGTCGATACGGATAAATTAAGCGAATAAAAAAATGAGAAATAGACGAAAAAGTTAATAAAACACAAAGATTAAAAAATTAGAATAATTTTCCACGAGTTTTCGTCCGAGTAAAAAAAAACAAGAAAAGAATTATTAAATTACAAACATTAAATAAAAAAAACCACGTGTGAAAAGTGAAAAATTTAAAAGTTCACTAAATTTAAGATTTGGAAAAAGCACAAAGCGCAGATATTTTTTTTCATACATCTCTCTCGACAAACACAACAAGCTTCACATGACTTCGCGTGCATGCACCACCTCTTTGAACGCCACGCGTACGGATTATAAGCCGTTAGATCATTTCCATTTCATCTGATGAAAGGTGATCACCGGAGTGTACTCTGAGGACGTCGCACCTGATTTTTCTCTTCTTAGAGAAAAACTCTAACGTCCACCATCAAATGGACAACGCGAAAACCGGGAGTCACGCGAGGGTTAAGAGCGAGTGAAACACTCGCCCACGTCGCATATTCCCTGCCAGAGGGGCCTTTTTGTCGATCTAAGCAACAAAAAGTGCAGGCACTATTCCACCTCAGAGAAAAATATCTGGCTGACATTAGCGGAAGATATTATCGCCCTCCTGCTGACGTGGCACGTCGCTGATGGGACTGACACGTGTAAAAGCGACGCCATGTGGAGCCTTTATTGGCCCCAACTACGCCTCTCCACCCAAACACCGCCTCCTTCTCTCTCTCTTCATCTCTCTCCTTTTTTCTCTCCTCCGTCTCTCTCTCTCTGGTTCCAGAGGGTTTCTCTGCTAAATTTCAGGCGGTCAAGAGCTTGAAACCTCTTTTAATTCCGCAGAAAAGCCTCTTCTCTGCGACTAATTTGTTCTTGTTTGATAAAAGAACGGATGGAAGAGAATCTCCGGACGAATATTCCGGTGCCACTGCCGGATCGTGAGGCGGAAGCGACTGATAATTGCGAGAGCGAGTCGACGCGGACGGAATCGATCGACTCCGGTATAACGGTTGGTAGCTCCGGAGATTTCCTGAGTCATAATGCGGATGCGAGTGAGGTAACGACTTATTAACCTTTGTTTTAGTCCTTTTTATTGCTTTCTGTACAGCAAATTTGAAACTGGTGAAACTTTGTTCTGTGTTTAGGATTATTTAATTATTTTGTTCGTTTGATTGTTTGAGGTCATGCTTTTGTTTCAATCTTTGTTTGAGGGAGAAGTGATTTGTTCTTCTTTTTGTAGAAGGCTTTCTATTGTTGTTCTGTTTGGATGACGTTTTCCTCATTTTGTTTAGCATAATAAAGTGGTTTGGTGAATAAGCTAAGTTTCTGACCCAAATTTGTTACTGAATCAACTTTCTGTAAGCCAAAAAACTGAAGTATGATCTGAGAGGATCAGTCGATTAGGAATTTTCAATTAAAAAACTGCAGAGGAGGTGGAGATCTCATTGTAGAGTAGAAATGAGGTTATAGATCGTTCAGGTTTAACATTGTTATCTTGAGAATCTGGTGCATTCAATTGTAATATAAATTTGAATTGAGATAAAAAAATGATAGTTTTCTATTAAGGCATCTAATTTTCAATTTACAAAATTTTGGCACCGCATATCTCTTATAGATTAGGTAGGAGCCACCTCTAGTAGTGCTTTACATGCACCACCATGTTGTGCTATTCATAATACAATATTAGATATTGGTTGTGGATATTGCACTCTGGATCATTTTCTTAAAATAATTATGAATCCTAACTTTGAAGTAAAGTGGCAATTTTATTTAGATAATATGTTTCTTTTCGTGCTGATCGGTAAGTCTTGGCCTATTGCTAGTTTTTAGAAAATTTACCTAGATTAATGCAGAGCGAGTCCAGCTGAAATCAGAGATTGGTACCAGCATGTGACTTTCAGTGCGCCAACCAGAGCTTAAGCAAACAAAATAACACCTCCTCTCTTTGCTTGTATTTTGTAAAGATGATTATTTGGCTGATAGGTGGCTTAACTTGTTTATTTTTGATCATCTTTGAATTTTCTCCCTTAAGATCCTGGGTCTCTGTTATTTATAACTCAAATTGATATTTGAGTCTGCATGTTTTCTCATTTTATCAAGACAGGATTCTCCACATACTTGAACTGTATTTCTGCATTGTATGTATGATCTCAAGATGTGTGACAATCAATTATCATATCCCTTTCCCTAATTTTTTGTTTTTGCTATCTGAAAAAAGTTTTAAAGGTGCATTTGTAGCATACAACACTAGTTTTGGCATAAGGATCTTTTCCATTTGGAGCAGGTCCACAGAGAAGGATAGACTATTAATAGGTGGGTGGCTGATCAACTGGATTTCATGTTTGCATACATGTGCCACTAAATGGATCTAGGAATTGGATGAAAAAGACTTGTGTCATGGGTAGCTGAGTGTAGGTGGTTTAACTGGGAAAAAATATCATGTAATAAGAGATATAACCTATGAGAGAATTCTATATTTGATTTAACTCGACGCTACACCATATCTTTTTTGCTCTTAGGATTTCAGTGTGGTTTGCTTGTTTAGTAGAATTAATATGTTCAACAGATGGTTCAAGTCTCTATTAAAAGCATAAACTTGTCCCTCATGTTTACCATTGGAGGCTGGCCCTTTACCTTTGTGGTGTGCTATAAAATGCTGTGCCAGTGTTTTCCAATGCTTACTCATTTTCTGCAAAATTCTAGTGTGCAAGACTTGATGCTTATGAAAAATAAGGTCCTTTAAATATCCCGGCAAGCAGTTTATTTTTCTGACAGTTTTATTTCTGCAGTATTATCTTAGTGCGAGATTTTAGTGTTTTGCCTGCTAGCTTGGTATTAATGCAAGTATATGCCAAGTTTCAAAGTCTTTACTCAATTATGAAGTCCTCCTTTGTAGACTCATTTTTTAATATAATATATTAAACATGGGAAATGGGTGAAATAGAATGGCAGCACCTTGCCATTGGAGTTATCTAATAGCAACTAAGTTATTATCCTGGTAACAGAGTAAATGGTTTGGTCTTTATTAACCTTATGAGAAAATGAAAATTTGTTAACATATTCATTGGTAATTGAATAATTATCTGAACTCTTCTTTTCATGTTGAGTTGGCAGTTTTTGGTCCTCATAGTGTTGTTTTCAACTTGTTTATCTGGACCAGTCAACAGGATGGACTGATGAGAAGCACAGCCTGTATCTTAATCATTTAGAAACATCATTCGTCAAGCAGTTGCATCGTTCAGCTGGATTGTGTGGCTGGCATTCACGAACAAAAATTTGGGGTCCATTTTCATCCTATGGAACGCGACCGAGAACTCATAATTCTGCTGATCAGGTTGGATACTCAAATCTGCTCATTTTCTTGAGTTTTTGATGAATTTTAATAAAACTCCTGGTTTTTTCTTTCCTTCTTTTATTTTCAGTACACTGTTCTACAGGATGGCTGTTGGCAGAAGGTAAACTTTGGAGAAAATGGACCCTTATTGGACCAAAGATCTGATTCTTATACTGGTCTTGATAACCAATGGATACATCATTTCACATCTTCCAGTAAACAGCGCATAGGGGCACCTCCTTCCCTACATGAAAGTATTTTAGCCAGGGATGCATACTGGAGGAGTGGATCATCGAGGAATTCTCAGGAGCCTGGATATGATCAATACCATGATGTTTCTGTTGACAGTACTACAGGTAGGTCTGGCCAACTTTACGTGCCAAGGAGTTCTGCTTTTTATTGCTTGTTTCCCATCTTAATTGGTGTGAACATCTATTCCTTGCAGGCTTTTGACCTTTGTTTGGTAGATCAGATTTTACATGCATTCTCTCGCCTCTTGTCCTCTATCATTCATCACTTTTTGCCTCTCTTTCACCCACTCTCTGATGGAATTTGCTCTCTAGGTTTTATGACTTTTGGCAATGGTTGTTGGCTACGTATTTTGACATTGGATGTTCACGTAATTATGATGATGCCTCCAACAGAGCATTTGTGACATTTAAAATTTGAATTTGTTTTTCTGTATTTTAGAAGGATGAAATGTATGAGCCAATAGATCGTCTTACTACTCGATGAACTCAAAAGGCTTTTCATATAAAATTTTATTATTGTTATTGTTGGAAGCAGGCAGATAAACTATAACTTTTCCTGTTTGCTGTGAGTGATGATTTTTGGCTGCATTAGTTCCTCTAGGTGGTCCATTATTACCTCCTCTAGAAAAATCAATTCTACTTTCTTTCTTTCCAGAAAGGAAGTTAAGTAGAGTTTTGTTTTTACTAATCCATTGTTCTGCTCATGTTGGTAGAAGATATATGAACCATTGACTTGGATATGATTTAACTGAACTTAAGAAATTCTAGGTTCCTCTAATTACCTTATGGTGAATTAGGGCTTTGATGCAGATATTGGTGGAGAATACTTAAATTATGAAGGTGGTGACTGAAGGCTGTGGAGAAGAATCATTCTATCTTCTAGTTGATTTTTAAATTTCTGTTCTCATGTTAGAAAGTTTTCTTATCCATAGATCTCTTAGAAAATCTGCTGGCACTTCTTTAAATGATTGCCCCCTTTTCCCCAATAGGTTTGATGTTAAGAGGCTGGCTACAGGTGGTATTCATCTTTGGCTAACGAAATCAAACCTCAATATGACCGACACTGGTATAGGTACGTTTTGATGGTCTTATTGATGCATACCACGGTGCGGTCTTTTCTTTTGGAGTTGTATCGTGGACAGCTTAACTGAAGAGAGCAGATGAGTTTCTTTTCCAACCCCAGGAAATCGATCTTTTGAATAAAAATGCGCTAGATTAGACAGTGTCATTCAAACCATAGCAAAGCTGGACCTGTGAGAGACATATCAGACGCCTTCTTACTAAAGAGAAATGACCAATAGATCTAATCCCTAGCTAAACTACCAATGGACGGATTCAGAAGACAGGGCAGACTGATGAGCCTTTGCCTAATACAGCTCAACTGGGATATTTGATTGGACAGAAGACTGGTCGAGCTTAGGATGGAAGATAGGATAGACTTTTCTCTGCTGGTTGTAGAGGCCCTTGCTCCCTTTATTTGATGCATTGTGTGTCTGATTCTCCCGTGGCATAGTCAAAAGCGAAAGCCTTAGCCCCTTGGGTAATGCTTGGATTTTATGGTGAAATTGTAGAATCACTGCTTTCGGTTCAACTCCTTCTGGATTTGTAAGATAATTTCTGTGAAATATTATTTTCCCCAGCTATTAACACAATAAATCACACTCTTTAATGTTGGAAGTCTATTGAAACTTGGAGGACAGGAATTGAAGGCAGCGTAATTCTTTAATTGTAAATAGTAAAGCTCACATAGTTGCTTTAGTTCAACCTCATTCTGTTGAGTTTTTTTACGCCTTAGAATTTATGGTGATTCTCAATACTTTTATTTTGAAATAGCATCTTTCAAGTGTAGGTGTTTTTTTTATTCTTTTTCCTTTACCAAAATGTTTAATCTTTTTGCAGAGGTCTCAGACCAGAATTTTGTGGACAATGATGGGGAGAGTTCGAATCGCCCTTCCTCAGAAAAAGGGCTTAAAAGAGCTACAGCTGGTGCTTCAAGCAGTGATCAGGTATCATTTAGAATTAGTTTTACAACTTTTCCTTGTTTTATAGTACTTAGTTTGAGATCAAATTTGTGGAATAATCACTTGTCTTACTGTTATATGCTCCTGCAGGTTGTGCCTCATAGAAAGTTTCAAAAAATAAATGCATCGAGTGTCAATCATGCATTGACAGAAAAAGATGCACAGGAGTTGCTGTCAGATGAACCCGAGAGTTTTGCCTGTCAAAAAGATGATCTCCATTATTACTTAAGAGGAAGTTGATTCGCCAACTCAAAACTGAATTTGAACTGGGATCTGTGGAGAGAAGACGGGAGGACTTGACCTGCTTCCTGGTTGAAGAAAAAAAGAAGTGAGGAAAATGTTTTTATTGATAGTTATTGTTTTTTCCTGGTAGCTCATACTGGAGATGATTATGGAGATTACAATGCTGGCGATGATTATCAAGATATCAATGCTGGCGATGCTTTCTATTATGTTGGAAGAAGAAATTCATATGTTCCCTGCAATTCTTATGTTTAGTATATTAGCGAAACAAGATCCACAAGTAGCTATTATTTGCTGGTTTGTTTACTATTTGAGGAAAATTCCACTGGGGCTTCAACGAATGGAGAAGACGTGAATTGCAATAGACGGCGGACGTGCAAACGATGTGAGGTCGGGCTTTCCAGGCACGGATTTCTGCTAGTTTGATAATTCTGAATCTCAATCTGCTTCGTGGTTCCTGGAAGTTTCTATATTATTTTGATGTTTCTACTCAAATTCTAGAAATGAAATCCTGTAAATATTCTTTCCCAGTTTATTTCCCTTCTACAACTAAGACTTGGAATTGCTGAATTATGTCTATGTCACTTACCATTCGGATTTGTCTCATGAACGTTACATAATTGTCTCACATGTATCTTTGAGCTTTACAGGCAGTTTTATGGATGTTAGATTTCATTTGCCTACTGAGAATTTGCCAGCAGAACAGATCTCGTACAGCCTGATGCTTAGTGTGGTAATCTGACTGTATTTCAGGCTGGGAAAGAAGGTGCTTCCTTTGGTTACTCAGCGCTGTAGAATGGAATTTGCAGTGCTGTTGTAAATCTGGACGACCGATGGTTTGTTTAAAAAGTTTTGCTCAGCGTTTCTTTTCGAAAGGTATGTGTCCCATTGGTTTATGGAAGTCTTTTAATGATTGCTTTTACAGTTGTAGGCCAATATTTGTTGGATGCTTTTGAGTGTTAATCTTTGCTTAAATAATTTCTAGAGCCATTAAAAATCACGACAATCTTTTGATTGGTGATACAGGATATGGGAAACACCAAAATTTTGATCCTTGTTCATTTAAGTGGCGCCTTGTTATATATATATATATATATATATATATATATGTAAATATTATATTCGGGTGGGAACGCCCATGTGCAAGGTTTGGATCTACGCACTCTTATAGTGGGCAAAAAATAATATTCTTTGGGCTAAATATCTGGTCGCTTTGGATAATATTTTTTCGTTCGAATAATAATATTTTAAGAACGTCATCAAATTATTAAAATTGTAATTTATGCCGATATAGACTTTTTGACTGAAGAAAAAGTAAATTAATTTTGAATAAAAAGTGGAGGG